GAAGTGACTATTCAAGGCGCAAACAGTAATAAATTATAGTAATAAATTATACAAGACGATACTGCTGACTGAGTCGTTTTGAGTGCTTTGAGTCGCGAAAAGGTGACCAGTGCAGGTAATTATTTTGAAATCTAATTGGTTAGAGAGTGGGACATAAAATGGGATTTCCGTTTCGGAAAATCCCGGGGATTTTTATGACCCTAATATTGCCCAACCGCTACCTAAGGAAGGCAAATTACTAACGAGTGCCCCTGTATTAATTTTACACGAAAATAACTGCATATCGATTGAAAAAATCGACAAACGCATATATGTGCCCTTAGTCCAGGCCGATGACTTAGAGAAAGCACATAAATGCGGCCTTAGGCCGCATATATGCGTCCATAGAGCTCTAAGGGTTAATACAGTAGGAATCTCAATTATTCGATTCCACATGTTTAGACAGTTTAGTCTAAAACGATCAACAGCGATCAAATTAACTGTAGAAGTCAATCAAAATGTCGGGTAGTCTTGCAACTGAACAACCGTTTCATTATCCGAACATTAACTATTCCAGACTGATCCGGATAATCGAGGTTCTATTGTACCAAAATTCTCTCATTATTCAAACATGTTTATCACTAGAGTAAAAGAATCTTCTAGCTCCGTTTTATCGTCTTCCTTAGATTTTGGATCGGAACAATCATAAATTAGCCTAATCGCAAGTAGTCCCTTCACTTTCTTAAAATTTTATAACTTGGTTTCAATGATAACAGAATGGAACTTCGATTATCCGGACCTCCAATGTTAGCATTCTCTATTATCCAAAAATATTTATTTAGATAATAATAAAAGAATATAAAGATAATATAAGATAATTCATAAAAGAATATTCTAGTTCTGTGTTATTGTCACCTAGGTAGTGCAAGCAACCATAAATTAGCCTAATCGCAAGTAGCTTCTACCTTTTCTCAAAACTTTTGACTTTGTTTCAATAAAAAATACGGTAGAACCTCAAAATCACAAGCACGCGCGCGCGCATACAGACACAATATGTGTATACAGGGTGTTCACCATAATGGTCGCCACGATTTTTGAGGCAT